TGACCCAGCCTCTAGGAGGACAGAACACATACTGAGGGTATGAGGGACCCCAGCCTCTGCCTGCTGTCCTCCTCTTCAGGAGGGGCTCCTTGAGGGGCTGGGCCAGGTCTCACAATTCTCCATCCTTAAAAACTCCTTCTCTCTTTCCCATCCCCTCCCCCTGACAAGGCCTCCGAGGGCCTTCACACTCTGACCTCCATACTTGTCCTGTACTCCTCCTTATCTCCATCCTCCCCAGCACCAGCCACAGGGGCCTTTTATCTGTTCCACGGACTATCTGAACTCATTCCCAGCTTCGGACCTTCATACAAGCTGTCTCCTCTGCACAATATCTTCCCCATCTTCACAGGCTGACCCTCCTCATTATCCAGAATTCAGGCTAGGTATCATCTCTCCCCAAAGACCTCTCAGGGCTGCCCAGTCTAAAGGAGCTGCTTGTTCATTGGCCTACCCCTCTGGTTTAATGTATTACAACCTGTAATTTTCTTGTTTATCATCCATCTCTCCCTGCCTTGGTTTATAAGACCATTTCATGATCTAGGCCTGGCTTCCCGCAAATGCCACTGTTCACCCCTGGGAGCTAATGCAGACCGTCAGAGACCCTGCTCTCTCTGAGTTCCCAGAGTCTGCACATGGCATCCTTTCTACCTGGAGCCTGCTCTTCACTCCACCTCCCACTTCACCCCCTCCTCTGGTTATATCAGACATAGAAATAGTTGCCAACCCCTACATCGAGTTCATTCCTTTTCCCCTCCATCAACCCATCAGGGTTCTCGGCACCCTATAATTCAGGTGAAGCCATCACGCAGGGCGGGGAGAGATGAGTCTGCCTTGCTCACTGCTGTGCCGTGGGCCAAGCACAGGACCTGGTGCGCAGCAGGGTGGGTGGACGAATGAAATCCACTGCCACTGGCAGGCTGTCATACGGAGCGTTTCCAGGGAGACAGCTCCCACCATGAGCTGCAGTAGATGGAGACCATGCTGCCTGCGGCCAGAGGAGTAAGAGTGTTCCAGTGAGAGGCAGGGGCAGGGGCAGGGGCTGCGGGGGAAGTTACGTGCAGTTCTCTCCAGATTGCACGGGACTGATGAGGAGATGAGGGATGAGGCCAAACCACAAGAGGGCTGTATAAACCTGGAGGAGGCAGAGAGCTTGATACTAAATATAATGGGAGATCATTAAAGAGTCTGGAGTAGGTAGTGAAATGGTCAGATCTGCATCTAAACAGAAAAACCACAGCAGCTGGATGTGTTTTGGGAGGGGGAGCTCCATCCCCAACCTAAATCCTTGAATTCTCTCACAGATTACCCCACACGATAGTTCTAGCACTCGCTCTTAATCAGTATAGGAGGCAAGGGCTTCAGTAGAAATCTCCCCTCAATCCCTATAGTAGGTTGAACAGTGCCCCCAACCCCCCACCTCAAAAAGGTTTAGTCACATTTTGGAACCATGTGAACGTGACTTTATTTGGAAAAAGGGTCTTTGTAGATGTAATTAAGGGTCTTGAGATGAGATCATCCTGGATGGCGTGATGGGCTCTAAACCCAATTAAAAGTGACCTTGAAAGAGGCAGAAAAGGAGAAGACCCAGACAGAAGAGGAGCAGGCCGTGAGGCCAGAAAGTGGAGTGCTGCCGCCACAAGCTGAGGAAGCCAAGACATGCCAACAGCCACAGGAAGCTAGAAGAGGCAAAGAAAGAGTCTCCCCTAGAGTCTCCAGAGGGAAAGCCCAGTTAATACCTTAATTTTAGATTTCTGACTTCTGAACTATGAGAGAGTAAATCTGTGCTGTTTTAAACAACACACCTAGTTTATGGCAATCTGTTATGGCAGCCCTAGGAAACTAACACAGTTCTGTACTCAAACTAAGAAGATTCAGCCTCAGAACCCTTCACCACTGGTGGACTCTTATAAATCAGGAAGCTTCTTTTCTGTTTGGAAGATATGATTGTGACAGAAGCATGGAGCCAGTCCAGCCTTTCAATGGACCCTCCTCTGTAGCTCTTGGCACTGAAAGACATCTCTGCCCACATCAAGAAATGTATCCGCAGAATGAAGCAATGGGCAATGAGTGGAGCTGGGTCTTGGGCCAAGCTCCAAAGACTCTGAGAGTGAAGCTGGCAGGGCTCTGTGGGGACTAATGGTTTGGAAAAAGAGGGTAGAACAGTGGGTTGCTCAATGGTGGTAGGCACAGATATGGTAGGAATTGTCATTGTTCAAAGAGGATACATAGCTTCAGGTTCCCAAAAGGGACTGTGGGGCCCTGGAATGTTCAGTCTGGTCTTCAGGGTGGGCTTATTAGGGCCAACACACTGTCAGACTTCATTCTTCAAAGGTTCCTTAAAATATCCACTGTGTACTGGCTTTCTTCTCCACTGTACCCATCTAGGCACCTCCCACAGCACAATGTCTGCATTTGCAGTGAGCAGAGAGCCCACCAGTGGAAACACCAGTATTCAACCTGAAGGTCTGCCCTGCGTGTGTGAGTGTGTGTGTGTGTGTGTGTGTGTGTGTGTGTGTTTGTCTGGCTCCTCCCTCCTTCCCTGGGGAATCCTCAACTACTCCTGTAGATGAGTCAGCTTCCTCTGTTAGAAGTTTCTCTTTTGGAGGGCTAGTCAACATGGCAGTGACGTAACTTATCTATGTGAGTATACATGCAGCGTCTTTCTCCCTGGCTAGCTGTAAGCGCCCCCATGACTCCCCCTGGCTCACTGTAGGTGTACCATGAGAAATTGAACAAAACAGGCCAATTCTCATGTACACTCGAGAAAGATTTCATCCAGTTGTTTCAAACCCTCAGAGAGTGCCAAAAGCTAGGGGCTCAGGCTTAATCTTAAGAGATAGAGAAGCAAAGGGAAAGGCAAAAGGGCAAAAATAAAGCCACGTGTGGGAGGATAAGAAGATTTCAGTCCTAAACCCAGGGCTGCCAGAGGCCAAAAATTTTACAGCCCTGTCTCCACAGGAGGGATCCTTGTGATCCTTGTGCCCATTTTTTTAGGTCTTGGCTAAGATGGCATCCTATACCTTCTTCCTTATAACCCAAACCCCCCACTCCCAACTCTTTCCCTCCTAAAGATTAATTTCTCTTTGTGAATAGAATTCAGATGGGCTGGACTCTAATGACATCCAGAATCTCATCAAAGTAATCTCATGACAAATTCTCCTGAAAGAGTCTTCTGCTTACACTGAAACAAAAAAGTGACTTGCAGAGAAATGTGGTAAATGCGTGTTGCAGACTGGTTGCCACCAGATTTCCTCTATTAAAGACCAAGAGAACAGTGCCCACCTTGAGTGGGAGAACACTTGAGATCATGCATGCACACTCACCACTGTGCCCAGTTGCAGTCCCCATGGTCAGTAAAAGTCTTGATGTTAACAGTGGTTAGAACTGCAGCTGTTATTAAAATTATTACGACCAGTCCCTCTAACTTGTGTGATCAGTCAGTTGCTACCTTTTCCTGTACCTGTTTCCCTCATCAAACACAGACAGCCCAGCCATCCCCAGCTGCAGCAGGGGTGTGGACCAAGCTACCCTACTGAGATGGGCACCTCAGAAGGAAAGGCAAGGTTATGGTCATTCATTCTTTGTTATTAATGAAAGATTAGGCTCTTGTGAAGGGTGGGCAGATGTCAGAAGATCAGCCAATGTCCTTGGCATTTGCTTTTCCGGGGCATTTCTCTCAATGTAGCATCATCAGATGGTCCCTTTGGATTGAATGAGGTCGGGCAGAGGAGATGAAAAAGGAAAGTATCAATAAAGGAAGGCATCCATTGAGTAGAGTACAGAAGGAACTGGCCAATTAAGAAGGACCGTGGGTCTCCTCAGACTTCTTGTTCTGAGCCCTACCTCTTGCTTTTTCTCTGAAGCTCCATAAAGTATGCCCTGTTTCATGACGCTTGACTCTTTCTCTAAAGACCTGCTCTAAGGCAAAGCCTTATATATTTGTTTATACTAACATGTAAATGGCTATTGGGGCTTTATGCTTCCTTGTTTGTTTGTTTTTTTTAAGATTTTATTTATTTATTCATGAGAGACACAGAGAGAGAGAGGCAGAGACATAGGCAGAGGGAGAAGCAGGCTCCCTGTGGGAAGCCCGATACAGGACTCGATTTCAGGACCCCTAGATTATGCCAAAGGCAGATGCTCAAGCACTGAGCCACCCAGGTGTCCCGCTTGCTTGTTTGTGTAAGGGAAGAAGGTTTCAGTCGAAGAAATGAATACTTTCAAGTGAGTGGGGGGAGGCAGAGGGCCTTCACAATGACTCAGAGAGCCACTTGCCTGTTCTATCCAGAAAATCAGTGGCTGTGGTGGGGTGGCAGGGGTTACGGGGGCGCTGCGGGGAGATAAGCCATTTGGGTTTAGTTGAACTGACTGAACAATTTCTGAACCCAACGTTCTATCTGGAAGTAGGAAAGTAGGCAGGAGCATGGTGGGAGGAAAGGAGGACGAGGGACACTAGACAGAGCAGAAGTACCCAGAGTAGGAAGGGATTGCTCCCTCTAAATGCACCTCTCAGGGAATGAAGAGTTGCCAGGGAGGAATGCAGAGCTCTGTTACTTCAAAGCATCACTTCCGATGTAATGAAAAGTAGGGGGCTAAGGTGGCTCAGCTCTTTGGAGTACCCTCAGCCTCCTTCCTTGGCCCCTCTTGGCTTGTGAGATACCCCAGGTCATGGCTGGAATGTTTCAAGAGGAGCTCATCTCCAGAGCCGATGCAGCCAACCTGGATAACTGCGTAGGCCTCTCTGGGCAGCCTAGGACCAAAGTAAGATTATGGGCCAGGTTTATGCTACTGGTGAGGAGTAGGGGGGGTTAGGTGGAGAATTCTGGTTACCAGGAGGGTCAGAGCAGAGAAAGGGAAAAAGACAGGAAGTGCCACTTGCCCTCCCCAGCAGCCCTCTTGGTTTAGGACAGCAGCATGACTCGGTGTAAGGGGCTTGGCCTCCAGCAGCCCCTAGAAAAGGGACTCCAAAATAGAAAAAAATAGAGATGGATCAGAGCCAGTCCTGGAACACAAACACCAGTATATTTGATGTGCACGAAGGCGAAAAGGAAGAGACAAAGAGACCAATGGAGACAGAGCAGGCAATGGGTGCACAAACCAGTCCTGTGTCCTGAAGAGCTGCTGAAGTTGGGAGACAGCCCCCCACCACCACCACTTTAAAGTGGGAGAGCCGGGACTTGCAGCAGCTCTGGGTCTGTGGTAGCCTCAAGGTGGAAGGTACTCTCCCCGCCTTAGCCATAGCTGGTGGGCCAGACCTCTCTGCTTTCTGCATGCCCCCCGCCCCTGATGATGTCTACACAGCCCAGAGCTTCATATATGCAGGTTCTCAGGAACTGACCCACTCGGCACTACCTCCCCAAGGAGACCCATGCAGAGAGTGAGGGACTAAGACAAGGGGATTTCATGGGCACTCTCTATGTATTATTGCTGTAGATAAGCAAAGGCCATTGTGACTTACTGGCAACAGAGGGGACAGGGCACAAGGTACAGGATGCCTAGCAGACATCAGAAGCATTTCAACCATGCAGGGCAGCACGTGGCAATCTGTCACTCAGAAATGCTGCCATGTCCAGTGGAGAGAGACCCAGGACACTGGAGGTTCACAAACAGTAAGCAGACTCTTCCCGCCAGCACCCCCACGGCTTGGCAGAGCTGGGGTGCCTGAGCACTAGGGGATGACGGCCCTGAAGATACCCCGAAAAGCTAGAGTTGAAGTCTGGGCTACCTCTGGTGGATTATGAGCTTGCAGACCCTGAGCTCAAGACCTGGATGGTTGCCTCCCTCTGCTAGGGACTCTGTGCCCTATGAGGGACAGCAAGAGCCATGGGGTACCTGGATGAAGCAGATAGACAATGCTCTGCACCTATCAGGCAGTCAGGTTTACTTTGGAACCTCCTGTACTTGAGAGTTTGTAGGGCCCAGAGAAAAGATGGTGCCAGGTAATGCCCACGGGGCAACATCTGGAGTAGCCAGACCTGATGGGCCATATGAGGGCTTGCTCTGTCTGAGATCACGGAGGCCCTGTGCTGGCAGACATCAAACAAGCTGACCACAGATTCGGTCATGGTAGAGGAGGGCAAAGGTGGGTAGTGTGGTCTGGGGGCCCCCATGAGGGGCCTGGAAGGGTGTTGGGGGTCCAGATGACTGAGATACCACAGAGTTAGGGGACAGATCCAAGGAAATAATTTCCTAGAGGGGACAGGGAATCCAGACAAGATTTTTCCCTCTGGAATCCCTTCTACTTGTAGATGGAAACCTGAATCCCTGGATGCCCCAAAGCCCTGGAATTGGGGCCACAGTAAATTCGAAGGTAGGTCTGGGCCCTGCAGAATGTAGTTCATGCCTGGATTTAAAGAGCCTGGCCAGGAAACAGAGGCTGGGAAATGCCCTTCACCCTGTCCCAGACAGGCCAGCTGCACAACACAACCATGTCAAAGGCAGAGTCTCCCAGCCTCTCTCCCAATCCCAGGATACCACTCCTGCCCATCCCCAGCCCACCAGCCCTGGCTCACACCCTGGCTGGTGCTATGTACACAGTCTAGGCGAAGCAGGAGAGCAAGGAAGAGGAGATTCTCTCCACAGGTGGTATTATCATTTTTTAATGATCTATAAAAAGGGAAAGGCTAATTCTAAGAGTCCTAGTGTGGTCAAGAAGAGACCATGTACCATGGCATACATTGCATTCTGATGGACCTCTCCCTCAGGGAGTGGGGACAAAGCCAGAAGTGGGCTGGAGTGAGGATTTCACCTGTCCACTGCCAGCAATGGACTTGTCCCAGAGGACAGGTGGGGGCAACCAAGGTTACAATGCCCATGAGCATGGCAGGGTCAATACTGTTTAAGGAGTAAGCTCAAAGGGTCAGCCTTGCTGGGAGGGGTGGGACAGGGGTCGCCCTGAAGAGGTTTTGCTGCAGGGCTGGAGCTACGGACCAACTAGCTGACTCCTTCCCACTAATGATGCTCCAAAGACCTTCCCAAAGCTCAAAGGCTGTCTTCTTTTCTCCTTCCCTTATTCTCCATGGGTCTCCAACACTGGATACCCGCTTCTTCTTCCTCTAGAAAGCTCTGTTGACTCCAACTGGCTTGAAAAGAAACCATATGCTTTCTCCCCTCCCACCCCCCAGCTCCCCTAAACTGATTTGTCTCTAGGTCCCACTGTGGGTCTGGGGAGGCCCATCTTGGCCTGTGTGTTGGGAAGGGTATTCTTCAGTTTTAGCTGGGCCACTGCGAGAAGGGGGTGCAGGGAGCAGGGGGCGCTGCCACAGCCCACCAGACAGGTGGGGAGGTGTAAAAGCGAACTTCCCAGTCATCGGAGGGAAGACGGCAAGAGGGTGGGCAGGGTCCCTCTCAGGGATCTATCTCTGGCAGCTGCTGTGTTGGCCAGGGAGCTGGGGAACAGGGCCGGCATGGTGACTGACACGGAAAAAGGGCTGCTAGTGGTAAAGGCCTTGAGAATAAGAGAGGAAAGGGGGAAACGCCACCGAACACACAGGGATTGAGACCTCCAAAAGCCCAAGGTTGGTGGGAATCCAGCACCAGGGGGGGGCCCCCAGAAGGCCAAGGGAGCAGCGGAGCCCTGGGGGAGGGGAGGGGAGCCAAGGGAAGGCCTCCAGCCCTTGCACACCAGCACTGCCGCCAAGCAGCCTCCTTCCTGGCTGCCCAGTCTCTCCTTAGGCTGCAGCTCAGCAGGTCCCCGGGGGAGGTATTGGTTGCAAGCAAGCACCTGAATATTGCCTAATGGAACCAGCCCAAGCCCAAGGAAACCAGGTGAGAGGGAGGAGGCCACGCAGCAGCCCAAAGCCTCGGGCCTTGCCTCCCACCTTCTGCCCAGTTCTCTGAGCCTCTTAGCCAGGACAGGGCCTGCTGCTTCCAAAGTCACCCGGGGGGGGGGGGGGGTGGCGGGGGGCGTCCAGGCTGCTCAGCCACAGGCCGAGGCCGCCAGCCTCTGAGCTGGGCGGGGCTTCCCGGAGTCGCTCGGCTACCTCCGCCCGCCCCGCCGCTGGCCCCGCCCCCGCCCCGCCCCCCAGCGGAGGGCGCCGCGGGGAGGGGGCCGGTCCCCGGGCCAGGGCTTGTGCTGCTCGGAAGATGTAACCCCGCCAGCTGGGAACCTCCGTCCACCCGGTCCGTGAGCGCCCCCCGCCCCCCAACACCAGCCCCGTTCAGTCTGTCTTGACGTGGCCGTTGGCCAGGGCCAGGGCGCCCCCGGGCTCCCCGGGCTCGGCGTCCTTGTCAAAGCGGAGGCGGAGGGTGTTGCGGATGATGAACTGCTCCACGATGAGGGCCCCGCAGAACCAGGGCACGGCGTACTCCAGGGTGATGAGGCCCATGAAGTCAAAGTCGAACTGGGAATAGTCCCAGGGGCAGGCGTTGAACTGGCGCAGGATGAAGCCGGTGGTGAACTCCCACAGGTAGGTCCAGAGCGTGTAGATGAGGCAGCGCAGCAGCAGCGGGCAGCGGCCGCGCAGGCGCAGGTACATGCGCTCCACGATGAGAATGGACGTGCCGTAGATGAAGAGCGCCCACACGCTCGTGACCCCCGGGAACTTCCAGTTAAAGTTCACCACGAACTCCCAGGCCGCCGTGAACATCACCTCACAGAAGTAGCCGTGGATGGCATACAGGTACCAGCGGGACAGCGCCGTCAGAGGCTCGGCCGAGGATGCCATGCTGCCGAGTGGGGCTGGCTGCTGGGACACAGAGGTGACAGGTGAGAGGGGCAGGGAGGGAAGGAGGAAACCCCTCCTCCCGCCCTCCCATGCCCAGCCCAAGTCTTGGCATGACCAGGCTGGAAGGGATTCCAGACCTGCCTCTACTTTCTCTTTGGTTACCAGATTCTTGGCCCTATTTCATGTCCCTTACTTTGTTCCCCATTCCTTACCTTGGCCAGGTGGGCACGAGAAAGGAAGGGAAGACACTTAAAAGTCCCACTGGTTTCCTCTGACCAACTCTATTCAAATGATACTCGGAAGGAGGTGTCTGCTACACTCCCTAGGCTTTTTTTTTTTTTTCTTGGATTATCTGTGGTCAATGGAAGAGCTGGCTGTCCAGGCCCACCAGTTACCTCCATTGCTAGCTGATTTCTCATCAGGCCCATCCACTGAGATCACCATTTCTTCCTCCTCCACTTCTTCTCAAACAACTCCACATCACTCATATTTCTGAGATCTTTTTTTTTTTTTTAAGATTCTACTTATTTATTCATAAGAGACACACAGAGAGAGGCAGAGACATAGGCAGAAGGAGAAGCAGGGGGGCAGCCCAGGTGTCTCAGCGGTTTAGCACTGCCTTCAGCCCAGGGCCTGATCCTGGAGACCTGGGATCAAGTCCCACATCAGGCTCCCTGCATGGAGCCTACTTCTCCCTCTGCCTGTGTCTCTGCCTCTCTCTCTCTTTTTGTGTGTGTCTCTCATGAATTAATTAATAAAATTTTTTTTTAAAAAAAAAGGAGAAGCAGGCTCCCTGTGGGAAGCGCAATGAGGCACTCGATCCTGGGACTCCAGGATCATGCCCTGAGCCAAAGGCTCAACCACTGAACCACCCAGGCATCCCTTTCTGAGATCTTTCTAAGCAACCTATCACATGTCTTTTGTGTGTGTGTGTGTGTTAACATGTACACAACACTTACCATGTCAGCCATTTTTTAAGTAGATAGTTCAGTGGCATTAAGTACATTCACACTATTGTGCAACTGTCACCACCATCCATCTCTAAAACTTCCTCATCCCAAACTGAAATTCCATACCCATTAAACCCTAACTCCCCAACCCCTCCCCAGCCCATGGCAACCACCATTCTACTTTCTAGCTCTGTGAATTTGATTACTCTAGTTACTTCTTTTAAGTGGGATCATACACCATTTGTCTGTTTGTGACTGGCTTATTTCACTTAGCATAGTGTCTGCAAGGCTCATCCATGCTGTAGCATGTGTCAGAATATCCTTCACTTTTAAAGGCTGAATAATATTCATTCCTTTGTGATCTATCTATCTAGATACATCACATTGTACTATCCATCTGTCCATGCATTAATGGTTTGCTTCCACCTTTTGGCTATTGTGAACACTGCTGCTATGAACATGGGTATACAAATACCTGTTCTAGTCTCTGCTTTCCAGTCTTTTGGATTTATATCCAGGAGTAGAATTGCTGGATCTATGTTTATTTTCTAAGGAACGGCTTGCTGTTTTCCACAGCAGCCGTACCATTTTACATTCCCACCAGCAATGCACAAGGCTTCCAATTTCTCCACATCCTTGCCAGCGCTTGTTATTTTCTATATTTTTGATGATGACCATCCTGATGGGTGTAAAGCAGCAGCTCCTTGTGGTCACATTTGTCTTTAACTGCTCCATTAAGTGGGTTTTGGTGTTTAGTTTCCATGTTGAGAGGAAACCAATGGGCTGACAGGAGAGAGTCCTCCTCTCTACTTCTTATTCTCTTCCCCTCCTCTCTTTTAATAAGCCCCATCGGGCTTTAAGGCCCCATCCTGTTTCCCTGAAGGCTGGCCTGGCCCACAGACCTCTCTGCTTTCCCTTGCCCTCCATCAGTGACTGTCTGGGTGACTCACTTGGCTACCCATGCTACCCTGCTTCCTGTTAGAAGGCATTTGCTGTCTTGATCCAACTCGCTAGCCTGCATACTCCCCGAGGGCAGTGGCTCTTGTGCACAGGCCTTGGCACAGGCCTCTCGGGGGCAGGCACTGTCTAAATAATGCAGGCTTATGTGGGGGCAGGGAGGGGGCGATGGGGGTAGAATTCAGGGCTGCATCAGGAATAGGAAGGCAGAGCATGAAAACGGGAATCCCAGCTCTGCCAGCTGCCAGTGGACCCCAGGCTTGACACCTCTGCCAAGGTGGGAGAGGGGACAGAGGTTAACAAGACGCATCTGCAATCTGCCTGGTTGTCTGGGAATCCCAGCCTCATTTTTCAGCTAAAGCAGACCTAGTCACAGTAATACCTAGCCCACCCCAGCTCTGCCCTGGGCATTGCTTTGTGTTCTTCCAAGCACTTTCATTCACATTTTTGTTGTTGTTTCTTACAAAATTAAGATCATGAGAAGGGCAAGTAGTTTAACTCCCATTTTTTTAAGAGAGACAGTTGGGGCTCAGAGAGGTTGTTTGTCCCATATCCCAGGGCCAGTGAATGGAAAGGCTGAGATGAGAATCCACATCTCCTGATTTCTACTTTAGTACTCATCCCACTACACACTACTGATTATCTCCTAAACATGTGTGCCTAGTGTCACTCCCCTCCCCCAGAACATTTAGTGGCCCCCCCCCCCCATTTCCCAACTGGGACCTAAGACTCTCTAGGATCTCACTCCAGCTTCCTTTTTCAGCCTTATTCTCACAGGTTGGCTCTCCTGGGCTTCCCTCCTGCCTCTGCAAATCCTATCTGAGTGTTTCCTTTTTTTTTTTTTTTTTTTTTTTAATTTTTATTTTATTTTATTTTTATTTTATTTTTTATTTATTTATTTTTATTTATGATAGTCACACACAGAGAGAGAGGCAGAGACACAGGCAGAGGGAGAAACAGACTCCATGCACCGGGAGCCCGACGTGGGATTCGATCCCGGGTCTCCAGGATCACGCCCTGGGCCAAAGGCAGCCGCTGCGCCACCCAGGGATCCCCTATCTGAGTGTTTCCTATGCCTTTCTCCTCTCACCATCCACAAGTACAAACCCAACTTCCAGGTGACCTTCAGAATAAAATTGTCTTCATCCCCACTGCTGCAGGCCTCTCTTCCTCCCCTGAATAGCCACAGCACTTACTCTGTCTCTCTCCGGTCCAGATGATTTCCTTATTTTTTTATTATGTTGGTAACTTCCAGTCCCCATCCAGACATCTTTCCCATGTTCTACACCTATGTATCCCACTCCTTCCTGAACACCTCCCCCTAAGCATCCTATAGACATTTCCAACTCCTTTCCTAAATCAAACTCATCTTTCCCCCAAAACTTGTCTTCCTCCTGCGACCCCACTCTGTACTTAGCTAGCAGCCAGAGGCCCTGAGGTCATTCCAGCTTTCTCTGCTACATCCTTACCCGAACATGAGCTCCCTGAGAATAAGGACTTTGTCTGTCTGGTTCAGCACCACATCCCCAGTGCCTAGAACAGTGCCTGGCACACAGCATTCAACTAAAAAAGACATTTCTCAATCAGTTCGTAATTGCTACATAGCAAAGCATTTCAAAACTCAACTCTTAAATCAACTCTCATTTATTATTACAGCTTGCACATCTCTGGGTTGGTGGATCTTGGCTGGCCTCAATCATGAGACTGCTGGTCATCTGGGGCCTGTGTCCTATCCTTACCTGGGGTGGCTCCAATTCACTTGTCTCTCATCCCTGGCATGCTTTCTTACGGCAAGCACAGAGGCACAGGGACAAGCAAGCCCTACTGCACCACACTTTTCATAACTCTGGTTAAGTTATGCCCACATCTTATTTGTCAAAGCAAGTCATATGGCAAAGCTGCCAAGTCAGCCATTACCTCCTATCCTTACTACCACTTAAATATCTTTGAAATCATCTTTTCTTCTTGATCCCCTTTCTCACTGCTGCTGCTCTGCTTCAAGCTGTCACCATCACTCACCTGGATGCCCCCAATCATCTGCCAGCTGGTCTCCCATCTTGCCTTTTCCTTTCCAATTCAGCTATCACTAAGAAAGAATAAATGGAAATAGCTGTCTTTCTAAAACACAAATCTGATGCTACTCCCCAAGTAAGGCCCATTAGTGTATCTTTATCCACCTACACAGTGAGGCTTGAGCCCCCAGGGATGGCTGGCAAAGCCCTTTGTGAGACACTTCTGCCTCAGATCTTACTGCTTTTGCTACCTGAGGTGCCCTTCTGAGCTGCTACTGCCACCACCACCCCCCAACCCTTGGCCCATGACCCATAATCTTCCTTCAAGGCTCAGCTCCTCCTCCACTGCCTCATTCGTCTACCTCTGGACCCAGTTCACTTCTGTGACAACAGTTAGCACTGCACTTTGCACTAAATGGCTGCTTGATGGATATCTAATATAATGTTAAGAGGGAAAAAAAGCAGCATTCAAAACTGAATAACTAACATGATTTTGATTTTCTAAAAGCATACATTCAGGTAAATGTACAAAAAAACTAATCATAATCATCTCTGAATGGTGACATCACAAGTGATTTTTATTTCCTTCTTTAAGCTTCTCTCTGTGTAATCTAAAATGTCTAACAAATAGGTATACATTTTTATAAAAATAAAATTTTATCTTAGAAACATTTGTTTTATGACCACGTATTCATTATCTTTGTGCCTTGTATATAGAAGATGTTCAACAAACTCGCCAAGCAAATGAACCTCAGGAAACCTGATGTCCTATAAAGTTCACGTGGGTTCCTCCCTCCTGAGCCATCACCAACAATAAACCATGATTCATGGTTTAAATAGCATGAAGTGGTTAAGCCCGGGGGCCCCAGATCCTAACTTCCTGGTCTCCCCCTTGCCCTTTCCTTTCCAATTTCCTGGTACCCTTCACCTGTGGGATGTAGGGCATGTTCCCTGACATTTCTGTGCCTCGGTTTTCTTATAGGGAAAGAGAGAATAATAGGAGTAACTACTTTTGGGGGTATTGTAAGGATGAATGAGCTAATAGATAGACACTACTAAGATTACAGCAAATGCTCAGGAAAAGGTGGCTGTCACTTCTGCCACAGAGCTAGGCTTCCTGGTCGGCTTCTCCAGCTCTGAGTGCCACTTCCTACCTGAGGCAGGGTCATTCTGCCCCTGCTTTTAGTAGCTGTTGGGCAACCTTCCTTGCCAAGCAGGTCAGGTCTTCACCTCCACCCAGAGCACAACCCAGCAGCCAAGCAACCTTGTGAAACCAATAATCGCCCACACAGCCCATGGGAGAACAAAGACTGAGCTGAGGAGAGGCAAGGTGAGCTTCCAGCTTTTGTGCAGCTCAGGAGTTTTAATGGGGGGAGGGGGGGGTCTCAGAACTAACTCTCTGAGGTCCAGGCTTGACAAGAAGGGTGAAATGAAAGGGCTAGTGTTCCTTGCACACCTTCTCACACCATCATTTTATCCTGCAACTCCAATAGGTTGTTAGCCTTCCAGAGTGGGAGAGAACAGACCCAGGCTCCAGGGAAACTCACTGAGAATGAAGAAGAACCATAACTGGAGGTAGGTGGGGCTGTGGTGGCCTGGAGACCACTCTACCTGCCGCCCAGCTCTGACTCCTCTGGCCCACAGCAGCCAGGGGAAAGGGCTCCCTGTTCATCAGATGCAGCAGCCTAACAAAACTAGTGGATTTCTCAGGTCTGCCCCCACCTTAATGCTGACTTTAAAACCCTGCTCTCCTTGCCTCATGAACTCATCTTTAGACATGGTCAAGGATGTCCCAGCCAGTAACAACTCAGGGGCTCCGGTCACGCCTCCCCCTCCCCCATCCCCCAGAGCAGATGATTTGGAAGAGCTGGACTTCCAAACCCTTCGAGCAGAAGTAAGATGGAAGGAGCAGCTGTTAAAGGGTGAAGGAGGGCAAGCCGTTGAACAGAAGAGAAGATGGGGGCAAAAGAACAGGGTGAGCCCAAGGAGAGATTCCATTTCTGGAATCTTCCATACTTCGAAGAACAGGAGTAGGCAGAGGGGAAGCATACCTAGGCAAGGTCAGGCCACGTCCGAGGGATTGTGCCAGAAGAACACTCCTACTCCACACGAGACAAACAGGGAAGCTGGAAGTCCTGACTGGGGCCAGGAGATGGGGGTGAAGACAGAGAAAAGGGATATGAGACAGTGTCATCAGCTGGGGTGGCCACTCACACTGTGGTGGCACAGGCACTAACATTCGGGGCAGTGTTGGTTTGACTGGGTTTTCAAAACTCCACTCCCTGAACCCATTGTTAATACTTGCAAGAGTGCTTAAACGTTGAGTTAGGACAAGCTCCCCCACCCTCTGCTGGCCCAACAGACCCCCATCCTCCCCCCACCTAAACCCCTTTGCCCCAGACTCTCCCAGTACCTCCTGGCTCAGCACTGGGACCAAAGCCCTGCGAAGGCCTGCATCAGGAAGAACCAGCAGCTCACTGGACGTTGGCCTCTCTTTCTCCTGGTGACAGACACAACCATCCTGAGGACCGTGGCACAGAGACAGGACAGCCGGGGAAACAAAACTCAAAGTGAAGTAAAGGGGAGAGCACGGGCAAGGATAGAAACAGGAGAAAAGAATTTGGAGAGCTGAGGATGGTTTTGCAAGCAGGATACTGGGGAACAGCACCCAAGTATAAGAGTCTACTTGTTGATAAAAGGGCCTGTGAACCAGTAAAGGGCCGGAACTCAAGGTAACTTGACAGAGCAGGGCACTGCCCCTTTAAGGGGACAGCTTATAGGTGCTTTGCAGGGGAGGAGTTCAGTCTTACTCCCTAAGAGTATCTCCCCAGCTCCTGGAACCTGCTGAGCTATTCCTGAGAAAGAGAGGAGAGCAAGTTGAGAGGGACAAAGAGAATGCCATAAAAGTCCAAGATAGGCTGGAGGCAAAACCAAAGGAGATGACTGCCTTTGGTTTTACCCCAAACTCCCATCTTATTCCAGGGAGCTAAGGTGCCACAACACAATGACTCTGGGAATTTCTGTCCAGAGGAGGATCTTGCTAGAAAATTGGGATTCCTCTTCCATGCAGACTAGGCAGGACTTCCTCTTTCATCTCATTTACTTCTTCATTTCCAGGTGCCACCTGGGGAGCTACATAGCTCCCCTGGGGGGCCCCTGAGAACAAGGCAGTGGGGGACGCTGAGTTCAGTTCCCTGGCAGGCTCTGTGCTCAGAGTGAGTGGAATCAAAGAGGAGTGGGCAGCTGCCCTAACATCTGGGTGAAAGATGCAAGGTCTGAAACCATCCTGAGCATCCTCTGTGGTTGTCAAGTTGAGGGTGGGGTGGCGTGGGAAGAACACATGGGCTTGCTCCAGGACCAAAAGGGAAGCAAGTGGAGCTAAATACCTGTGGTCACTGGCTAACCCAGATGCCATAGAGTTCCACCCTTCCTTGCTATGGGCATCCCCCAGGAAATTCCCCTGGGATGGTCCTCCCTCCACCTCCCATGTCACAGGACTAATCAGGCACTCTTCTCTACACTTACCATGTATTAACTCACATAATACTCAAGCCTATTTTATAGATAGGGCAATTGAGAAAGAGAAAGCTAAATAATTACAGCTATAAAAGGCAGAACTCAGATTCAAAGCCAGCAAGTCTGGCTCCAGATCCTTCTCAGCACACTGCATTGCCCTTGAAGCTGACTACAGGCTCCTCGGTGGGCGACACCATTTTCTGAGTTTCTACTTCTGAAAGGCTAGAATGGTATATGGAGAGGCAATAAGAAGCAAGAAGGATGTGGGCATCTAGATAGATCATTAGTGAAGCTCAGAACTGGTGTCAGAGCAATTGAAGGCTTCCAGCACATTCTGAGAGGCCAAGTTCTGGTCTAAGGCCAAGTTCTGGTAAGATCCAACTGACGATCCTCCAGAGTCATAGCTGACTCTCAGAGGACCATAGTGGCAGCCACCTCTGAGGGCCTCAAGGCACGTGCCATTCAAAGACCTTTTACGAGGACACACATTACCCAGAGTTTTCCTGACTGCCAGCCCACGCCCGTGTGGCTGGACATCTCAGATGGCCCAACCCAGCCATGCAAATACCAGCCAAGAGCAGTGACCAGCATCACACTGCCCAGAAAAACCCAGTGCCTGGAACAGCAGCAGACCACTCCACACAAGGCAGCAGCCTGGGGAGGATTTTAGAAGGCCTCAGATGCTAAGCAAATCCTAGCTGGCAGGCATGATGGGGCAATCGGACTTGGAGAACAGAGTCAGCTTGGCACAGAGGTTCACAAGGGCTCAGGCAGGGATGGGCACCCCGTGGTGGATGGGGGCCTCAGGCTGGGCATCCTGTGTGTTGTCCACAAGGCTCTTCCCAGACCTCACGCAGCTGCCTCTCTATTGTTATTCAGATTTCAGCTCAACTGTCACCCCTGAAACCTTCTCTAGTCTCCAATCCAAAATAGCCTCCCCAGCACTGACATCATCCTGTTTCAGTTCTCATACCGCTTTCACTTTCTGCTATTTTGCTACTCCTTTGTTGTCTACCTCCCCCAGTTAGAACAACGCTCCACTAGGCTCTGTTTCGTTCAGTACTGGATGCCCAGTGCCTACAACAGTGCCTGGCAATAAAACTTAACTAATACCTGTGTCATGAATGAATGAACAAATGAATGCATGGATGGGCCCACACAGGGCAGGTATAAACACTGATGAGGGCAGGGATAAACAACTAGCTGCCTCAGCCTTCCTCTCTTCTCTTTCTTGGGAAATACAGTCTTTTTAAGATTTCAGTTCTAATATTTTTAAACATCCTTATTATTTTTCCCCAATTATAAAAGTCACATGTGTTCACACCTAAAATTTAAATATCACAGAAAGGAATGGCCTAGAGATTAAAAGTCCCACATCACCCTACATCTTAGAGAAAGTCACTATTAATGGTATGTTGTGTATTCATTCAGATTACATTCAGTTTTACAGGAAGCAAATCCATGTATCATAGAAAAGGAATTCATAATCCCACCAGGCTAGCCACCACTATCATTTTTCCCTGGCAATCTCTCTTATGTGTTTATTTTACAAGTTACCTTAATGTACTTATTGTGTAACCTGACATTTTCACTTAGTATATCATAATAATTTTTCCAAGTTGCTATATTGCCTATATTCTCACTATTACAATGGTGCTGTGATACTCCACCAGGTGGAAAACTATAATTTCCTTAACCAGGTATTCAGTAGAGAGAGGGCAATTGTTTCCCATTCCCAATATTACCATGACACCACAAGAAGTATCTTTTTTATGCCTGTAACAAAAGTATTCAGTCCTTTTCTTCTCTGGGACTATTTCTTTCTTTTTTTTTTTAATTTTTATTTATTTATGATAGTCACACAGAGAGAGAGAGAGGCAGAGACATAGGCAGAGGGAGAAGCAGGCTCAATGCACCAGGAGCCTGACATGGGATTCGATCCCGGGTCTCCAGGATCGCGCCCTGGGCCAAAGGCAGGCACCAAACCGCTGCGCCACCCAGGGATCTCTGGGACTATTTCTTAAAGAAAGATTTCTTAATGAGTATCTCTAGAAGTGGGATCACTGGGCCAAAGGGTACAGCAGTCTTAAGACCGATATTGTTGGCTGCCCTGGGGAATTCTGCATTATATGGAGAGTAGTCTCTGGTCTGAGTCACCGTGTTGCTGCCCTGGCCTCTGTGGTCATCTCTGTTCCTCCCCCTGACTCCCGCAGTTCAGGTACACACCACCCTGGCTACAAACCAACTCAAACACATGCTTCCTGCAAGGCCCTCCAACCACAAACTGATTTTGCAAGCCTAGGCTGAGAGAAGAAATAGATGCCAGCCCTGAGTTTTTAACTGTCAACTGACTGGGGCCCCTGGGGAGCTCAGTTGGGTGAATGTCTCTGCCTTCGGCTCAGGTCCTGGGATGAAGCCCCACATTGAGCTCTCTGCTCAGCGGGGAGCCTGCTTCTCCCTCTGCTTGTGTGCTTTCTCTCTCTCTCTGTTAAGTAAATAAATAAAATCTTAAACAAAACAAAACAAAAATCTGTCAAATGGCAAGATCTACCTAAAGCTGAGAAATCCCTAGTTCCCCTTTTCTTTCCCTGCAAGCTCCTGCATGGAATCTAAGGCTCTGGGCTCCCATGGACCAGCCCAGCAGCTCCCAAACAGCCTGTTCTGTCCGGACTGCAAGAGCACCAGCTCTCCCTCCCTGCCTTGTGTTTCAGGGGAGTTCTCTCCCTGACCCACAGTGGGACTGTCTGCATGAGACCGACAACAGTCTTTAGACTAGACAGGCCTCTGGAGCTTGGGAAAGCGGCCAATCATCATTTTTTAAAGCACCATCAAGGAAAAGCCAGAGGTCAAGACCAGAAAGAAAGGTCAGGGGGTTCTCGCTCTACACACAGCTTGTCTGGACTTAGGAGGAGACCCTCAACAGGCCAAAAGCAGCAGAAGACTTTGTCCTCTTTCTTGGTGGCCACTTTCATGGAGGTTAAAGCACCACAAATCCTGTGCCTCCCAGTGCCCTGGATGCTCTACCCAAGGCCAATGTGAGCCACTCAATGGCTCTAGAATCCCAGATGAGGTAGTTCTCACTACACAAGGGTAAAGCCTGAGGCCCAAAGCATCCATGAGCCTACAGATAAGAAAGAGAATTTAGGAAGACATCTTCTCCCATGTGCTGGGTGTCTGACATCACTCACGTCAGCCAATCTGGGTCTGGCCCATATTTTAGAGGCCATGTGGCTATAAGATGGCTCCAGCATGTGGCATGACCTGAAACTGCTGGGCACTCTGTTCCTATCCAGAACTATAGCCCTGTGACAGGCCCTCGGACAGAACACAGGCTCAGAACTGGAAACCCCAGGGATCACCGGCCTTCCCTGTCTCACCAGCATAGACAAAGGCCTATAACATACTCACTTGTCAGACCTTTAAGTGCACGGCTCAGAACAGACATCAGGATCACTGTCCAGGAGTGTCCCGGGTTAACCTTTGTCCTGGTGCCTGGCTGGGCCTTGGTGCCATTCTCAGCAGTGTAGGCAAGCATCAGCCCCAGGGCTCAGCTGATCCTTGGCTGGTAGGCTGGAGGCTTCCATGTGTCCCTGGGAATAAAAGAGCAGGTGTTCATTACTTTATACTGCCCCAGCTCTGAGCCACCAGGCCAGTGGGAGAGGCAGCATCAAGGCAAACACTACAATTGCCTAGGCTCCGGGCTCAGCACCAGGCAGTCATCCCACCCCGCCCACTGGGCTCCTCTCTTGGAACCTACTACCTCCTTTATGCTGTCCTGTTTGCTCAGGTCTGGTTAATCCAGCGATGACAGCCTGGGATGGGTCCCAGGAGATTCACACATGGGGCTAGGACTTAGGGCTTCTTGCCCTGTGAGTAAATGTGTACACATTTGTAAATCTGAGAGGGGGTATAATTTTAGACTCCAGTGCCTTTCTCATTTAGCTTCAAATTACACTTGCACCTTCGCCCTGCAGTGCCTACATCTGTTCTCAAGGGCGGTCAAGAACCTCACAGAATGCAGACAGCACAGGACATTTGTTGTAGCATTTGGGGAGTCAAGCACAACCATACGCAGGAAAATGAGCACCCCAACAAAATGTATGCAAGACCCCCTCCCCACAATCCCACCACCCTTATATCCCACTTTATTTTACCACTATTCTTGTTAAGGCCCTTCCTATGAGCATCAATAACCGGCTACAAGCTGATACAAACCTGATGTTAGGGTGCCCCTGGCCACATACACATTTTTAATATATCCCTAAGAGTCGACCATTTGATAAAGATCCTGATTTTAATGTGAAGATCCTGCAGCTTCTCTGAAAACCCCTTGGATGCAGCCCCATCTGCATGAGCCTGAGGACAGAGCTCAGGTCCAGCGCGCCCCTACAGCAGGATGAGGTGGAAGCTGGCACCATCCCCCCGCCCCCTGCTATGTGGATGGCCAAGCAGGGTCATCCGTGGAGGTGCCACCTGAGCTGGTGCCCACAGCCGGCTTCCCCCTCCCCCTACCTCCCAGGCTCTCTGAGCTGGAGTGACTCTGCCTCTGCCCTTTGGAGGCAGCAGGGGAGTCGGAGAAGTGAAAGGGTAGGAGTTGGAACCAAAATTCACTGTATCCTTATATGCTTGTGGCCTGGGAGGGTGTGCACCCACACCCGCCACCCCCGCTCCAGGGGCCTCCGCACTGAGACAAGGACGAGAGCAGAGTGCAGCAGGCTGCCCTGCTCGGCTCAGCCCTCTCAGGCTCCTCCGCACACAGGAGCCTCCACCTGCCCCACCTGTCCATCCTCCCCCTTCTCCCAGCCTGCCTGGCATATACCCATTACCTGGAGGAAAGGGCTTTGATGGGGCATGTCCGACAACCCCTCTACCCCCAGCACCACCATGACCTGTGCCTGGGGAGTTCAATCCCACCCACGGCACTTCCCCTTCCCTGAGCCCTAAGCAGGCTGCATCAGCAAACATAAGACAAAAGAGAAAGAGAAACCAACGTCCACATCCTCATAGCACAGCCTGCTGGTTGCTGCAGTCAGCCCAGGAGGCTGCTGCTGGCTGAAGTGCCCCCCTGGCAGATGAAGCCGCTGCGGTCAGAACAGGCTCCCTTCCGAGATGGGCCTGGCACAGGACGCGTCCTGCTTCCTGGTCTGCAGGCTCTTTCCGCCAGGGAGCTGGTGGGGGCTGGATGAGGAGGCGATAGTCTAGCAGGAGTCCCACCTGTCTCTATGTGCACGAGCTGTCCCCAACCCCCTCTGACACTCCCTGGTCCCCTAGAGGAAGTCCCTGGTGTAAATGGCATGAGGCTACTTTGTGGAGTGCAGGGCCTGAGCTCTAAGTTTCTGGAGAACATGAATGTGTGAAGAGCCCTTATAGCAACTAACGTGGGCAGAACTTAAGACTTTTTTGAGTATATCCTCTCTCACGATTCTCTCAAGACTCCTGCAGGGAGGGCAGGAATCATCACCGCCCACCCCACCCCCCAGCCCCATTTTAGAGATGAAAACTCTGAATCTTGGGACATTAAGAGATTAGGCCAAATCTACATATTTGACTCAAAACCTGATCCTTGGGCTCCAGAGTCCGCCCTTTCTCCATACAGCGTGCCTTCGAGCTGCTTCCCATGCCTCTGCATGCACTTTTCATTCACTATAATCTACTTAGTCCTGTTCTGTAAGCTGCTTATTTGTAAACATACAGCCCTGAGTCTGTCCATCCAGCTTCATCAACATGCCCAGGTGCTCCTGTGAGACCCAGCTCCCTCCTCATTCCTTTGTGATGCCATCCTCCTAAGGCCTCACTGCATCACTAATGTGGCCACAGGACTTTGAATATCCTTATCCTGAAACATAATGTCCCATCTCAAAGTTATTATTGTCAAAAAAAAAGTTATTATTCTCTGTTTCCCCCTTCACATGGTGAATTCCTCAGGACCAAGGAATTTCTTTTGGATGGATGGACAAGCAAGCTCCAGAAGGGCCCAGCTTAATTCTTGGGTGATTGCACTATCCAGTGTTATTAACTAAACAGCGACATCTCGTATTCTTCTCTTAATTTCGAGGCCACCGTCATGAAAGGCCAGTCTCCCACAAAGCACCATAAATGTTGGTTTACAGTGGCAGGGCTGTCTCTGCAAATGAGGGAAGAAAGGAGGATGCTCACTCTCTTTCTCCCACCTCCAAGAGCCATCTCCTAGACCAAGAGGTGAGAACAGACGAGTGGGTGCCTTGGGTCTGGGCAATACAGAAGACATGTCACACGAAGAAGGCTGGGGGCAGGAACCAAGCGTCCCACGCATCCTGGGAGAAAGTGCAGGCTCCTACGTGGGCAAGGGGCCAAGTTCAGGCTCAGGTCAGAGAATAACAATGCCTATTCTGTTATTTTTACAATGTGCTGGCACTCTCCAAAGGCACATCCAGTTTTCATGTGCATAGCATTCATTTCCAAAGAGGTTTAACCAGCAGCTCCTGCATCATTCTCTCCCCTCCCCTATAACTATTTAGGGTAAGCTGGGCTTGCGGGATTCAATCTCTACTTCTCTGGCCAGGACCTAACAACCAAACCTACCCCCTCTCCACCCTGTCCGTCCTGTCTGTCTGGTCTCCGTCTCTGTCTCCATGGCTCAGAATCTATGAGATTGGAGGCAGGAAAAGGCAGGAAAACACCATCCCTTCTTCCCTCTCCCTCTCTCCTCTTCCCCAAACCTTCCCCACCCCAGGTGCCCACAGAGTAAAGAGAAAATGCCCCAAAAACCCACTGGGGGAGCTCAAAGGGCCCTGGTTCTTCCCACATGCCCCCGAACCATGAACCACGGCTTTCACTTGTCCTGTAGTAAGACCAGTCCTGAAATGCAAGTGGGTTCAGCAACTTCCCATGCTAAAGTACACATGCAACAGGAATTCCAAATGCCCCAGGGGAAAGGCTGTGTCTGCTCAGCTCCCTTGGGAAGCAAGGAGACCCAGGGCCTCGGGCCTGACTGGCAGAGGTAAGGTTGCTGGAGACAGGAGACAGAGTGTCCACACACTCCATTTGACCCTGTCCTTCCACACCCTGTCCCCTCATTTGGGGATCTGGGTTCCTTGGAATCTGGGTTTCTCTGCCAGCCAGACATCTCAGCACTCTGTTTTCTGTCTCACCTGCAGACCACTCTCTGTCCTGTCACCCTCCTCTCCTTCCTTCCTTCTCCCCATCCAGCCCCTCTTACTTTATGTGCTTTCCTCAATGTCCCCTTCTGAACAAACCCAGACCACCCATCCCCTACACCTTGGAGGGTGGTCTCTGACCCCAGCCCCTTCCCTTACCCCCCCATCCCACCCCCTGGCACAGGGTAGCTGCTGCTTGCTGCCTGAAAGGCTGGACAGCTGCTGGGCTCTCTAATTAGCTGCCTGGCTGCCGTCCCAGAGCAAGGCATGTGTTACAGTAAAGAGCCGCCTCACCTCCCCTTCATCAATAATCCCTTATGCAGATCCCATCAGGCAGCAGCTGAGGGGCCCTGGAATCCTGGTCACATGAGACCAGCAAGGCTCCTCCTGTCAGCTAGAAAGGGACAGACAGCAGCCTTGCAGCCTCACGGACTAAGTGACCAGAAATTTATTTATCCAGGCTCTCCCTATTACTGCCCATGTCCTTAGGGTGTCTCACAGGTTCCCTCACCACCCCATACCTTTGGAGCCCTGGGAACCCCTGCCTCTTTGTAGCCTCACCAGTGGAAGCAGAAAGAAGTCCACTGGGACTTTTGGAGGATAAGCCTGGGCCCCCCAAATGACAACCAGTGCCCTGCTTTTCACAGCTTTCTACAGCCAAGCCACCCCAGAGATTTCTAAACAACCAGAGACCTAGTCCAAGAAGTCCTGTTGAGGCTGATTTGTTTATTCAAGGTGTTGCATTCCAGTGGTCAACAAATATTTGTGGAGCACCTGCTGAAGGCCACACGCTGAACTGAGTGTGAACCAGACAGTGTTCCTGCCCCCTTGGAGCCTGCAGCTCTGTGGGGAGACAGAAAATAAAGAAGCTAGTTGACACACTGTAATGTCTGACAGTTGGCCACAAAGAAGGAGAAAGGCCTGGTGAGGACAGAGAAACTGGATGCTGGAGGGCAAGCCTTAAGCTTCTCTAAGGAGGTGGCTGTTGGGCTGGTGAGACTGGGGACCTCAAAATGGCCCATCAGAGGCCAGCAGCCTCCCAATAACGCCGCCTTGCCGCCCTACCTAACTCAGTTTACAAAGACCTGTAACCCTGGCCCTAATCGGAATGCCGCCCCGCCCCCATCCTGCCCCTGTGGTTTGCCTGGGGGCGACTTCCCTGACTTGGGCCTCCTCTCCAAGTCACCGAACCTTGCCGAGTACACCGAACCTCGGGAGTACTCCCCATTAAAGCACTCTCGAACCTACCCCCTGGCTCTGCTGTCTTTAATTTTCTCCGCCAATCATTAAAAGAAAACCTAACAGTGGCACTTGGGAATAGATCAGGATGATGCAAAGAAGCCTTTCAAAGAGCTTTGGGAAAAGCACTCCAGGAAGAGAGAACTGTAACTGAAAAGACCCTGAGGGAGGAGTAAGCTAAAAAAGCAAGTTTGAGGGGCGCCTGAGTGGCTCATTCAGTTAGGTGCCCAACTCTTGATCTCAGCTCAGGCCTTAATCTCGGGCTCTAGTTCAAGCCCCACATTGGGGTCCATGCTGGGTATGGAGCTTACTTAAAAACAAACAGGGCAGCCCGGTGGCTCAGCGGTTTAGAGCCGCCTTCAGCCCAGGGCCTGATCTTGGAGACCAGAGATTGAGTCCCACATCAGGCTCCCTGCATGGAGCCTGCTTCTCCCTCTGCCTGTGTCTCTGCCTCTCTCTCTCTCTCTCTCTCTCTCTCTCTCTCTCTCTCATGAATAAATAAATAAATAAATAAATAAAATATTAAAAAAAAAAAAAAAAAACAAGTTTGAGAAATAGCCAGGCCAGAGCATCTAAAGTTAGTGTAATGAGGGGGTCAAACATTGCCTGCCCCTGATTGCAAAGTCACTTGGTGGTCCCTACGGTGTCAGCTGGGCCAGAACAAAGCCCCAATTCCCAATTCCCAGGGAAACATGCCCAGCACAACTGAAGGCTCCCCCTGTGGGAAGGGCTTGGAAATGGCAGGTCCTAGTCAGTCATTTGGCAATGCACTTATCTACAAATAAAGGGAAAGTGAAATCTTTTGACTGATGGCCTGACATTTCCATCTGCTTCTCATCCAAAGAATTTAAGTAACTTTACTAGGCCTTCTCTGGCCTGAGTGCTTCACTTTAACAAGGAAGTCACTATTCCTTTTTAACTCCAGCTAGCCTGAGTTAAGGCTTCTGTCATTTGGAATCAAGAAAATCCTAACACATGTGATTGCCCCCCATTTGGAACATACCTCTTTGGCATAAGAATCACATACCTGAGCACCACCTGCCCACCACTGTTGCCATGCACACCAGTGGCTCTGCTCTTGCAGACAGTGAGGGTCAGAGCTGAGAATAAGAGAAGTCGGATGCCTTGCAAGGTTTGTCCACCTCAGCAGGACATATATAGCTTTGGAGGCTCCAAGTCTCCCTTCCGGACACTGCTCAGACTTTGTTATTTCTCCTTGATTCATGTGACCCTTGCCAGCAACCTAACAACCTTGACAATCTTCTAGGAAGAGGACATGTGAAAACTAGAAAACCCTGGAGGAAAAGTCTAAGCCAAGAACTAATACACACCTACCTTGTTTTTCTACAAATTACAGAACAGCACTGTCCAATTTGATAGACACTAGCTACATGTGGCTATTTAAATTTCAATTTTAGGGGTGCCTGGTGACTTAGCTAAGCATCCAACTTGATCTCAGCTCAGGTCTTGATCTCAGGGTCATGAGTTTTGCCCATGTGTTGGGCTCCATGCTGGACCCTGTGTTGGGTCATGCTGTGCTCCATGCTAAATTTAAATAAAATTAAAATTTAAAAAATTCCATCCTTCTTTGTATGGAGGGATTTCAAGTGTTCAGTAGCGACATGTGGCAGTGTCTACCATACTGGACAGTGCAGATACAAAGCATTTCCATCATCAAATAAAATTCTATTGAATTGCACTACTTTAGAGCTTACCCAGGGTAACCAGAAGGCTGCCAAACACACAGACCTAAAATTCAGCTACATTTTCTTGCTCTTGAAAATCCTTTTCTTCTGAATGGACACCCCCTGCCCTTCTTCTCTTCCTCAGGCTCAGGCCTAGTTAACCATGGTGAGATGGAGCCCAGGGGAACCATGAACCCTTGTTCCATGAAAGTCTCTGTCCAGTGCCTGAACAGTGACTTTTATCCAAGAGCCAAGAGAGGGCTCATGGTGAATGAGGTCAGCACTGGGTCTTTGGCCATAACTCAGTTTAGGGGTGCTGCCTGGAGTTATTTAAAAAGTCCAGACCATTTATTAGATACCTCTTGTAAGCCAGGCAGCTTCCACACAGGCCATCACATCTATCCCCCTCCACAAGTCTGTGAGGCAGACATTAACTTGGATTTCCTCAGGAGGCAAGCAAAGCTCAAAAGAAGTTAAATGACAACTAGAAAATGGGAGGGCCAAGAGTTTTCACCAGCACTTTTTTCTCTTACACCAGTCATGAGAGATGGAGATGTAGGGGACTTCATTTACCCAGGGCAATGAGCCACCTACAGTTGGCAATGGGTTCTCATGGTGGAAGTCTTATGTGAGCCTCCCCTCCCAGCCTACTCAAGTCCACCCAGGGGCTTGGAAGAGCTGCCTCCAAGGGTCTGCCCATGAAGGCCCCATTACTGAAAGACATCACAGCAAAACCACAGGAAAGCCAAATACAGAAGACAAATCTGAGAAGGTGGTAGGTGTCAGAACACAGACATAAGGCATTTCTCCTGGGCAAAGAAGGGAAGGGCATGATAAAATTTTGTTCTAGAAGGCTATACAAACCATGAGTTCCTTATCTTTGCATCCCCATGTCCTGGATAAAACATACAGTAGGGACTCAATAGGACTCAATATCCAAGTGCTGAATAGACGAAGTGGCAAGGTGCAGGTCCTCCCTGAGTGAGGCGGCCTGGCCAAGCAGAGCCTGAAAGGTGAGGGAATGAGGTGCTCTGAAGGAGCTGTGACAGTCTCCATCTGGTCTGCTCAACATAGGACCCAATCCAAATGCCCTTCACTTAAATAATGGCCCAGAGGGAAGGCCCTCAACCACCTGGCTGGGCACTGAAGGCAGCCAGGCACTTCCACCTTGAGCTTGAGCTCAGCAGCCCCAACCCCTCACTCAGGCTCTCGCTGGACAGCTCCATCTACTGTGAAAGCACCAAGTCTTGCAACACTTTCAAAATAATGGCTCCAAACAGCAGTTAGGCAAGAGTAATTAAAGGGATGTTATCGCAGTCAGTCTCTCATTAGCCACGTAATTAGACTGCTGAAAATAATTAACATTCCTTTTGACAAAGGAAACAGAGGAGCCATTACGTTCATTAGAACAGCCTCAAACTAGCTTGAAGAAGGCTGAGAAGTCATCCCCTCCTGGTCCTGCACAGGCCAGAGTCAGCATCTGGTAACCCAGACCTGGTGGCGAGTCCTGCCCTGGCCCAGATGCCCGGAAGTATGTATTATGGGTAACAATAATACAATCGCATATCCTCAGAGAAAGAGCACTTGAAGTAAACGCATGACTGTATCAAGACAGCAAGGCCAGGGCATGTGCCTGTCTCCCCCAAGGCCCAAGAACATGATGAAAGAGACTTTTTCTAGGAAGAATAAATCCATTACAGCATCAGAAAACAAGAAGGAATGATATGGGATCCCTGCAGATGGAAAGTAAAAGGGAAGAAACTGGTAGAGAAATCACAACCCGCCCAAAGTAAAACCATGAAAATAAGTAATAACAATAAGAACAGTAACCGGCACTCATACAGCACATATCCATGACAGACACTAGTCTAAGAACTTTACATGCATGGTTTCATGTAACCTTCACAAAAATCCTTGACATACAGACTATTAGCCTCACTTTATAAGACCCAGAGTTACACAGCTTTCCCAAAGTCATAGTACTAATAAGTGCCGGGTTAGCATCTGAACCCAAGCAAGTGTAGCTGAGGGTTCTATGCCAGGACGTTGGGCTGGGGTGGGGGTGCAGCCACGAGAAGCCCGGAGTGGTTAGTGATTGGATCTGGAGCAGCCGGGCAAGTGGGCCCCTACTCACCCTCCCACCCATGCTGTACCCTGGACACTGGGGCAGGGAGGCAGAGGTGACATCTAGACAGCAGTCCCTAGTAGGCACATCCCACTCCCCTGTCCACAACCGGAGATTGGCACAGAATTGGGGTTCACAGAGCCGTGATTGAAAAACCTCACAATACAGGGCAGCCTGGGTGGTTCAGCGGTTTAGCGCTGCCTTCAGCCCAGGGCCTGGTCCTGGAGACCCGGGATCGAGTCCTACGTCAGGCTCCCCCTCTGCCTGTGTCTCTGCCTCTCTCATGAATAAGTAAATAAAATCTTTAAAAGAAAAAAAAAAAGAAAAAACCTCACAATACAAAGAGAGGAACACATGACCAAGACTCACCAAATATTTGACAAAAACCAAAACCACCAAAGCAGCACTGAATTTGAGAACAGAAGTTATAGGTAGAAAACAAAATAAATAAAGTCGACAGAATGAAACATTTTTAAAAATACAATTACTATCCTCTGAAGGATCAGAAGGGCTACTGGATCCATGAACCAAAACAAGTCTGATATCAGAGGAATGTTAAAGACCTAACAAGTGAAGGAAATACACCACAGTGAACCAGTTATCTCTGGATGAAAGAATAATCTCATTAGAATTTTTCTTTTTATATGTCTGTTTTTCTAAACTTCCTATACTGAATATGTATTATTTTGAGAGCTGGAAAAGCTCCCTTTTAAAATGCCTGGCATGAGGTAGGGGCTCAGTAAGATTTGGTTACAGAGTAGGTCCTGCCTACTGTGTCAACTCTTGGCCCTACGCAGGCCGGCTGGTAATTCATCACACCTCACACTGGAATCACACCACCCACACCCCATCCCCCCACTTCTGTGCACACAGCTCCCCTCCTGGAGTGCCCTCATCCCTCCTCCGTTTACCCATATTTGCCTGTTCTTGGGTGCCCAAAGACGACCCTCATCAAAGAAAGGTCGCTGCATTCCCCTTAACTCACTCATCCCTCTTCCCCAAACTCCTAAGGGCACCTGATTCTCCAGGGACATGGAACAGCTCTGGTTGAACTGCCCGGTGGGGTCACAGCGTTGACAACTTATCTGCCCTTTACCTTTCAGTGGGTCCAAGTTTGGTATCCCGACTCTATCGTAGGCTCCTTAACGATACCAAGAGGGCATGAGCCTGCTTTTTATGCCCCACTGTGTCCAAGTAAAGCAGAGAAGTTTTTGCAAGAATCCGCTTGCTTATGTCAGTTAAGTGAATGAGGAAGGAGCTGCTCCTCCTGGTGGGAGTAAAAGAGGCAGATTATTATGGAAATGCACTTACTCACCGGGCTGGGCCCCAGGCACCTGGACACCTGGGCGAGGCCGTAATTGGGCCACTTGGTCTGGTCCCAGACACCTTTAAACTCCTACTGCTTGCATAGGATCCAGAAATACCTGAAAACCCAGAGGGTCTGGCTGGTAAATCTAGAAGCAAAATGTTGATGAGCAGGATATTCATGAGGTCTTAGGGTGTCTCCCCACAGAGTGCTTACTAGTAGCGAGGAAAAATGAATAAACACACAGTGAAGGAATTGGATAACACCTTGGCCAACAGCTCAAATGTAACATCACATGTAAGGGGCGAATGTCCACCCAGCGCCTCAGGTTGTAATATGCTGAAAAGGACACAACACCACTCACGGAAATCCCAGTCAGGATTGTGTAACCCAGAGTCTGAACATGAGGCAACGTCAGACCAAATCCAAAGGGAAAAATACTCCTTTTTTTTTTAAAGGGGGAGGAGAAGGCTATATTCCTCAAAAATGTCAATGTCCTAAAAGACAAAGACAGGCTCAGGAATCATTCTAGATGGCAAGGGGATGAAAGGGACACGACAACTAAATGCAGTATGGGATTCCAGACCAGATGGTGTACTGGCAGGGATCATGGGGAAGTCAGAGGGTGGAGCCATAAAGGACATTATTAAGTCATTTAACGAAATTGGAATACTGCTAGCAGGTTAAAGTATCGTCTCAATGTTCAATTTGCTGAAAGTTATATAAAACGACATTCTTATCCTTAGAAAATCCTCACTGAAAGGTTTACAAATAAAGGGCCATGATGTAGGCAACTTTCTCTTAAACAGTCCAGAAAAAACTTGAGAGAGAGAGAGAGAGAACATAAATGGGGCCAAATGTCAAAAAGACTGAATCTGGATAGAGTATATGGGTGTTTTGTACTATTCTGTAATAGTATTCTGCAACTTTTCTGTAAGTCTGAAATGACTTCCAAATAAAAAGTTTGGAGGAAAAAACAACAACCAGAGGGGCCCCTTCCACCAGGCAGGGTGTGGGGCAGGGGTGCAGCAGACATAGAGGGTGAATCCAGGGAGGACACTGGTCATCACACATCTGTATTGAGCACAAAAAAATTCTAGCTTTGCCAAAATAATACACGTGGACATATTTCCTTTCCCAGTTTTGACCTCCCCTGTTCTTAGGTCTCCATCAGGTTACTCTTTCCTCTCCCCATGATCAGCAATCTTCTAGGAGGCCTCCCTATTAATACCAGAGAATAAGACTGATTAACCTTTTGGGTGTATTCTTATTATATGTAGTTAATATTTTCTGGAGATATTTTGAGATCTCTTTTGTCCTCAAGCCCATCAGAACTAGTCAGGTTATATTTGTTAAGCCACAGCCTCCTAGGTGTTATATGATATATCCCCCCCCACCCCCGCCAAATTTTGTAGCTAGTCCTATTCATACAGCTTGACTTCAGGCCTTTAGGCCCTATTCCTCCCTTTGGAGATATGCAGACTTCCTAGGGTGTGCACCCCATTTCCCACCCCCCAATGCCCTCACCACCACCTGACTATGAAGTAAACTTCACTCCTACCACAAACACCCTGGGTACAGCCTCCCTCCCCAGGTGCCCTGCCTGTTGCCGTTGGGTGTGGTCACAACACACAGTTGACACAATCTCTTTAAGCAGCCTCCCTGTGGGCTACAGGGAATCAAGCATTGATTGTACAAATTCATTTATTAATTCAGAAGTCCTCATATGCATCTTTTATGTGCAGACTACTCAGTGCTAAGGAGGCTAGAGTATGAAAGCTGAAGCACAAGAGTGGGGCGGTTGTTTTTAAAACACTGGAAATACAAAATTTTGGAAATTCTACTGTAACATCAAACACCAGAAAACGAGTAGCAATAGTAACGTACCCTCTCACAGTGCTTTTCACTCAAATGAGCCCTTTTAAGTTCATCTCATTATTCATGAATTCATTCTCATCTTCAATAGCCAATTACTCAGAATCTATGTTGTGCCACCAGGAACATGCAAAGCCCATAGAGGCAAAGGCTCCACCTGGACCACAGGAAGCTGCCATTCTCTGTGGCCCTGGATTGCCCAACCAGCCTGTACATAGATGCTTAGGGTTCTGGCCATGATGGGGCACCAAAGAAAATTATTTAAAAGGAGAGAAAATTAGAGTCAGAAAGAAGCCCTTGTGGCTTCAGGGAACCAATAAATTTTGCTGTTTCTGAAAACATGACTCTATCTTGTAACTTAGAATTACATTAATTTATGTTTAATTATTTATAGGACCATAAACGCATCAGTTCTGATGGCCTCTAAAGATCTTAAACCAGCCCAAACAGTAAGTATAGGTTGCAGTCCTGAATGCTGACAAGAGTCAAGCAGGCAACTCAAATTAGTGAAGACTAGGGACCCCTGGGTGGCTCAGCGGTTGGGCGCCTGCCTTTGGCTCAGGTCGTGATCCCCGGACCCGGGATCAAGTCCCGCATCGGGCTCCCTGCGAGGAGCCTGCTTCTCCCTCTGCCTATGTCTCTGCCTCTCCTCTCAATCTGGGTCTTTCATGAATAAATAAATAAATCTTTAAAAAAAATTAGTGAAGACTCAAGAGCTATTAAGAAAGCAGGACTAGGGGCGCCTGGGTGGCTCAGGTGGTTAAACGTCCAACTCTTGATTTCTTGGCTCAGGTCATGACCTCAGGGTGATGAGATAGAGCCCTGCATCGGGCTCCTCACTGAGCATGCAACCAGCCTACTTAAGCTTCTTTTCTCCCTCTCCCACTCCTCGCCCACCTTGCATTCTGTCTCTCACAAAAATAAATAAAGCAAGCAGGACTGACAGGACTTGGCAGGGCTTTCTGGGGAGGGGGTCAGAGGGAGGGAGGATTCAAGGGTGACATTCAGACTTCTGACTTGGGCAACAGCATGTCATTCTCTGAGAGAAGAGGATACAGGGACAGGGGAAGAGACAACCCACTACAAGCTGCCTTTCAGATGCTCCAAGTCTGAGCTGCTCACAGACTCTGGCCGGAGGGAGGTCTGGGCCACCAGGTGGATAAAGCATTAAAGAGAGGAACCTGCTGGGGAGAAGGGGAGGGGGGGTGGTATCGGGGCTGGCTGAGGACAGGGCATTGAGAAAGGGCCAAGAAGGCAGGAGGACTCCCAGGAAAGGATCCCATCAGCGAGGAGGGGGCTAGGGAGTGTCAGGGGTCATGGTCAACTGCAGAGGCAAGTCACATAGGGGCTGGAGGGGGCACCTGGGTGGCTCAGTCAGTTAAGCATCTGCCCTCGGCTCAGGTCACAATCTTAGGGTCCCGGGATCTAGTCCTGCATCGGTCTCCCCACTTGGTGGGGAGTCTGCTTCTCCCTCTGCCTCTCTTCCCTCCAACTCCCTGCTTGTGCTCTCTGTTCTCTCTCTCTAAAATAAATGAAATATTAAAAAAAAAAGATAGGGGCTGGAGAGACTTAGCACAGAGGTCACTGGGGGCCATTCAGTAAGGAGGAGCCCCCACAAGAGGTGATTGAGACAGTGTGTCCTGATGACCCGTGAAGATGACTCTTTTGAGAAGTTTGCCTGTGAAGGGATGGAGATAGAAAAGCTGCTGCTAGAGAAGCAGCAATGAGGGGGTGTCCTTTCTCCCTGCCATCTTCCCTCTTTCCTAGATAGAGAGACCTAAGGAGGTTTAAATGCTAAGAAAAAAGCCACAGCAAGGGAACACTTATAGATAGGAAATATGTTGTGGGGTACACATGGATGCTCTGGCTGTGGTGAAGAGCACAGTGAGCGACAATCCCAAATGCCAGCAGGACACATGCGACATCATAACCCCCTTCACAGAGAGCCAGGCATCTGAAGTTAAGGTCATGCAAGTAGTAAGGTACTATAGCCCAGACTTGGAACACAGATAGGTCTCCGGTTCCTGGTCCTGGTCCTGGTCCTACTTCCAGGATTCCAGACTAGTAGTTCTCAATGGGGCCACCCTAGGGTTGGAGGGACCCTCTGTCAGCACCATGGTAGATGGGAGTGCTTATAGGTACTCAGAGGTGAGGACCTGGAATTCCCACCATGGTCCACAAACAAATTCTCCCACATGATGTTAGAACACCCCACTGGATATTCACAGAAGTGAAAAGCCCATTTAATAATCATCTACATCTAGAACCAAACTCCCTTTCTGAAATAATCACAGAACATTTTGCATGGTTTTAACATATATTGAATTGTCTGGGAATACCTTCATAGTGTAATTCGAGGGGATACTATATTTCATATCCTTTGGAACTTTACCAAGAGTGGTTGATCATCTGGGATAATTACGTCAAACTCAGCAGTGCTCTCCTGGTATCGGAGTCACCCCCACACACACACCTGTATCCTGTGGGTATTTGTGACTTTCGTGTTCTCAGTGATTCTATGTACAGGTTCAAGCATCTGACTTCTTCCTTCTGTTTTCTGTGTAGTCATGCCCAAGCAATTACATACTAGAACACACGATATTGTATTATAAGTAACCTTTCCTTTCTATTTTATGTTACAGTTAGGGCATTATATTGATTTTTTGAAACATGTACATATGTAGGTCATATTACTTAGGAATTTTATTCAGCATAATCAGGAGGCATTACAAATAGGTAAAAAGGGGGCACCATTCCAGATCATGTACCCCTAGAATCAAGAGAAATTGCAGTGCCAAGGGGAATCAAGGGGTGAACAGGATTAGGAGGGCTTCAAAAGATCAATCCCATGGAAGAAATTCAGTGGTCTGTTATGGATATCAGCATGAGGCTCCTGAATGATGGGTGTACAGACAATGTGGTTCAACCTATGAGGTGTAAGAAAACTATTAAATTGGACACCTTTGGGAAATTTCATCTCCAAGATTAATTTAAATTATACTATATCTCAGCATTTTCCAGCATAATGATGATAGGTAAAAGACCTCATGTCATCCATAGGGATCAGGGAAATGATAAACGGTCCA